CCCACAGAAGGAGGTAAGGACCGGATGGATCACTGCATTACAGATATTTGATTTTCTAAAGAAAACAGGGGGAAGAAAGGCTGTATTTGTCACCATGTGGTTTGTGGTGTTGCTAGGCCTGACAAATGGAAAGCACAGCTCTGCAGAACACGATGAGGACGACTCCAACCTAAGGTGAGTATGAGTAGGACAGGAAAAACTAGTGCTGAACTGAAGCATGCATGTTTTTTTCCATAAATTTGACTTGAATTTAAAAAGGTCCTTCTTGTTTTGGTTTCCACTCCTCTCTGCAGTGTCTCCCCTCCCAAACGCAGTCGGGGTAAACCTGCTTTGGCTAAAGTTCCTAGCAGCGAGAACGGAGACATCTCCGGATCTGGTGTGTATCACGAGAAGACAAAACACAGTGAAATGGCTCTGTTTTCTGTTTAGATTAGTAATTTATGAGCCTACACACATAAAAAAAAAAAAATACACATTTCATTTTATTCTCAGTTTGGGCTCAGGATCTGTCATGAATACAAATTAATTGCATGTATTGGGATATCCTGTTCACAGGAAAGTCTACACTTCTGTCTTTAGATAGCGAGACCAAACTTGCACCACTGGACCTAGTCTGGGCCAAATGCAGGGGATATCCGTCGTATCCGGCAATGGTGAGGATGCATTCAATCTTACACTCCATGGTCTAAATCAGGGATGTCAAACACATTTTACATCGCGAGCTGCATACAATGCACTTTGATATTTAATGGGCCGGACCAAAAAAAACTCCTCTTTCCATCAACCTAAACAAGTTTCATTACTCATTATAAAAATGGTTGTAGATGGTGTTTATTTATTACTAAATTAAACTCTTATGTAGTGATTTTCCACTCTCCCATTTACACAAGCACTTTCTTCTATGCTGTAGTGCTTTCTGTCTAACAATCACCCACATGGCGCGAAGGAGCAACCTCCTAAACTGCAGCCACCCCACATTACTTGGGTGTAGTATGATTGGAGTTTTTGTCGGGCAGTCTCCTGCCCCCTGGCCTTATGTTTGACAGCCTTGGTCTAGATAAACTTTGTTCCTGTGTTGCTAAATGTGCTGTATATGACATAATCTGCTGTTACAGATTGTTGATCCTGACATGCCCCAGGAAGGACTTCTCCACAATGGCATACCCATTCCCGTGCCTCCTCTGGAGGTGCTCAAACTTGGTGAATGGAGGCAAATGGAGGAAGACCAGAAGCTCTTCTTAGTGCTCTTCTTTGACACCAAAAGAACTTGGTGAGATTCAGACAGTCAGGGATAAACTCATGTTGAATTTTAGTGTTAGTCTTTGTCACCTAAATTTAAAACGTAAAATGGAAAAAAAAAAAATGTCCCTCTTCATTTTCAGGCAATGGCTCCCTCGTAACAAACTACTGCCGCTGGGAATGGACGACACTGTAGACAAGCTGCGGTTAATGGAAGGCAAAAAACCCAGCGTTCGCAAGTCTGTGCACACTGCTTATGACCGAGCTATGGTACATTTAAACCACGTGAGAGGAAATCTTAACTTCACACCCTCCAATTTTATATAAAATTTAAAAAATACAATTTATATAAAATTTAATTTTAAAGATTTTATCATCTTAAATAAGCTGCCTGGTTGTGTGTACAAAGCTTCTTCAATGCTCTTAAAAAATTTGGGAAAGTAAAACAAACACTTCCCAATAGGTGTAGTATTTGAAGGTTATCTGCATAAAAAGTTTTTTTAAAACTGATTTTTGAAATGAGGAGGGGAAAAAGTGCTTTTTTGTAGATTTACTTGTTCATTTATTTGTGTACGTTTTTTTAAATTGTTTTCCACAACCACTGTTGCTACGTGTTCATATAAAGATTTTATTTTAGGCCAAAGTGAGTCGAGACTTTCGTGAGAAAAGTGTAATTATTTAATCGTGAATGGGATTTTCTTGATTGAAAATATATTTAGATTGTATTTGCCATTGAAACGTCACTGTGTATACTGAAGTGTGAAAGTCCCACTTAACATTCACGTCATATCTGGACTTGGACAGCTATGGACACGGGTTTGTCTCCAAGAGTTCTCTATAATAACAATAATAATATCATTTGCATGTTGTTGTTTGCATGTTGCAGGTGATGTATAAGCTGCTCCTTCAGATCCTCTGTTTGTTCAGTTACTATGAGTTTTGTTCCATTAATATTCAGAGAGATAGACTGGTGCAGTGTTGCTGAAGCTGTCGGTTTATCAGTGGACCTTCTTTTCCCGCCCTCTTCTACAGCCACAAGCTGCAGGTGGTGAGATCAAGATTGTGGATACAAGTGGTGGTAAAGAGCTTCCTCCGAGGGGTTTTTGGATCTCTCTTAGCAACAAGGAGAGAAGCTCCTTTATTCCAGAGGAGGTCGGAGTAGCTTCTTCATATTGAAAGGAGCCAGTTGAGGTGGTTCAGGCATCTGTCATGACGCCTCCCGGATGCCTCTTTTGTGAAATGTTTAGGCCACTTCCAACTGGAAGGAGGACCTGGACACACGAGAGAGATTAAGAATGTCTCAGGGTCTCCTTCAGAACAGCTGGGAGTGGGAGGTTGGGGGGATCTCTGCTTAGACTCGTTTGTCTGACCAAGATAAGCAGCAATGCATGGGAGGATAATATTCATGGTATTACATCAAAGCCGTTACTGCAGGCATTCACATTGAAACTATATCAGAAGGGGTGCAAATAACTTTTTCTTTTTTGGTAACATTTGACTCCGGGACTTTGTTTTTCATGTGCTCATGTTTATTCAGCAGTTCTGGGAATTACTTGGTGCATGCACGATAACCATGCATCATTTGTTCTCTGACTGATATTGCTGAGCATCTGGCTACACCTAAATGCTGCAGGTAGTTGGAAGTCTCAGTGAGCTCTCTCACTGTATCCTGTAATCTTCCAGTCATTCTTGGATGTCACTTCAGAGTCACGTCACCTGAGTTGAATTTTAAAAAAAAAATGAAAAAGGGAATTTATCTGTTATAACAGCGTTTTATATTTGAGCACAAAATTAAAAGTTTTTTGAAATAGATTTTTTTTTTAAAACTTTTTCAGGGATGAGGCTTAGGCTTTGGAAACGAGCACTAAAAATATATTTTTATTTTACTATATTTTGACAAACAAATTGAATTGAGCATTAAAGGAACAAGTGATTCCATTTGCTCCGAGGTCCCAAACTCTCAGTCCAGCTATGACGTGTCGTTGGTGAGACTTTAGAGTGTTTACTTAATTTTTCCATATTGTGAAACTGTACGGTGATATGAGAATGTCGGCGTACCCGGTGCAGCTACCTGGTTAGTTAGATGTGAAGTCACTACAGAGGTGAGATGGTTTGTGGGGGAGGGAGGGGCAAAAAGAAAAAAGTCTACTGCGATCCTCACTCAAGAATTTGCACTTGAATGCAAATGTGGCTGAGGAAACTTGAAAAGCACAAATGGTTACTTTTAAGGATTGGATTGGTGACTCCTGGAGCCATATGTGTGGCAAAACCTTGTGTGTGCGTGCGTGCGTGCGTGAGAGTGTGTGTGTGTGTACAGCTTATACATACATGTATACAACCTCAGTGTAGTAAAAGTGCATGTGTATAGTTTTGTAAATATGTAAATGTATGTTTATATCGGCTTACATGAAGTAATTTAAGGAATGCAAAAATCGAGTTTAGATTTTAATTTATAATTTGTGGCAGTTGAGAGTGTTATTTAAAAAGTTAAATATTGAAAAGATTTATGTATGATGCTACGTAGCTCTTTGTAACAGTGATGGTATTCGCCAACATGTGGAACATGGAACATATTCTCTAAAAGCGAGGAGGCACAAGACCTTAACTCTGTGGGCAGAAGCTGCTGCACCTGCCTGCAAGTTTTGTTCGTTTTTTTTCCCTTGGTGGCACAGGAGATTTTTGATCTTGTCATTTAAATTGTATTGCAAGATCTATAATCTGCCCGAGACAATATTTTCTCACACAACAATAAATGCTGTTTGAAACAGTTTAATGTGCGTAGCGTGTTTTATTTTTATTCGTTTTAGTGAATTAAATGTATTGTTTGAAGATAAATCTAAATGGAAGTAAATCATCTACTAAGACGTCCTTCTACACTGCTAATAAATATATTAGCAGTGTGTAGCACATTTCTACATTGTAGGTACGTACTGAAGACATCAAATATATGAAGCAAGATTTATGATAATGTAGCAGAGAAAAAACTGAAATCAAGTTAACAGCACCTCATATTAGAGCCCAGATAAATGCCACACAGAGTTCCAGTAGCAGACACATCTCTACATCAACTGTTCAGAGGAGACAGCGAATGAGGCCTTTATGGCCAAATAGCTGCTAAGAAACCACAACTAAGGAAAAGCAACAAGCAGAAGAGATTTGTTTGTGGCCCAGAAACACAAGCAATGGACATTAGACCAGTGGAAGTCTGTGCTTTGGTCTAATGAGTCCAAATCTGAGATGTTTGGTTTTGCCTGTCATGTCTTTGAGCGACGCAGAAAAAGTGAACGGATGGTCTCTACATGCATGATTCCCACTGTGAAGCATGGAGGAGGTGTGATGGATGCTGCTTTGCTGGTGACACTGTTGGGGATTTATTCCAAATTGAAGGCACACTGAACCAGCATGGCTACCACTGCATCCTGCAGCGACATGCCATCCCATCCGGTTTGCGTTTAGTTGGACCATCATTTCTTTTTTAACAGGACAATGACCCCAAACACACCTCTAGGCTGTTTAAGGGCTATTTGCCCAAGACGAGTGCTGCCGAATGGCCTGGCCTCCAGAGTCGCCAGACCTAAAACCAATCGAGATGGTTTGGGATGAGATGGATCGCAGAGTGAAGGCAAAGTGAACAACAAGTGCTCATCATCTCTGGGAACTCCATCAAGACTGTTGGAAAACCACTTCAGGTGACAAACCTCATGAAGCTCATCGAGGGAATGCCGAGAGCGTGCACAGCAGTGATCGAAGGGTGGATAGTTTGAAGAATCTAAACTATAAAACGTGTTTTGAGTTATTTCACACTTTTTTGTTTACTACATAATTCCATATGTGTTCATTCATAGTTTTGATGCCTTCAGTGACAATGTACAATGTAAATAGTCATGAAAATAAAGAAAAAACATTGAATGACAAGGCGTGTCCAAACTTTTTATTTTAATAAAAAAAATATATATTTTAATAGAACTTGGAAATCTGTTCTGAAGGGCTTCCACCTTTTACTTAAAGTTGTGATTTGATGCTATATAAATAAAATTGAATAGTGCAAAATTCAACAACAGCTGCAACCAGAAGGGAGTGAGTGGACCACCAAAGGAGGGAAGATGGTGTTCTCTATTGCATCAGTACTTCTTCATATCTAGTATGTATGGAGAGTGACAGTTTGAATGGAACAAGCTGCATTAGGTCTCTTATTTAGAAAACCAAGGTTCCAACGTAACCAAACATCCAGAGACTTTTAAGCCATAGGACTGGAAGACACTTACAGGAAGTTCATTCAGCCTTTTTTTTTCCTTTTTCCAGTTTTGAGCACATAAATAAATCACACATATGACACAAAACTATTTCTGTTTATTAGCTGAAAATTCTGCCTTTGTAAAACATACCTTGAAATGATGTTAATATAATGGCATGTTGCTCTCTAAGACCAAGTAGACAGTAAAAAATGATCCTCAATGCTGAGGGTGCAAATAAAAAGGAACCATAAAAAAAGCAAACAGCCTTGCAGGATGGAGCCTTGTTCTAAATCACTGTTTTAAATTTCAACCATACATTTTTTTCTGGCCACATCACTGAATTACTGAGTCTCTCCTGGAGGAAAGCTTTAACAGTCTTTGCTCGGTGAAAATCTTCATTATCGTGACTTCATCATCATCAAAGCCACTTTCAATCGGAGGAATGAGAAAAGTGCCCAAGGTTTCAGTGTAGACCTGTTCATTTACTAATAATAAATGCCTTCTCTGCTGGTCTTTTACCTGACATGTCACGACATTAAAACAACGCCAGACAAAAGTTGCAGATTTATCAGCAAACATCACTTTCATCCAAACATCCACAGATAAGGATTGCCCCTCGTTATCCCACTCTAGCCTCATTTTCGTCCGCGTTTTGATACTGGTGCAAATTTGACTCATTTCTTACGGCTCTGTCATAAACAACAACTCCAGTGTCTACATTTTATATTTTAAAGGCGTATTGCTTTATGGGCAAGACATATGGGTAAGTTTACATCTTACCCATATGTCTTCCTTTTATAACCTTACCAATTTGTTTGTATTTGCTACAAAGTTTGGTCACAGCTGACTGGGAACAACAACATGTTTTACCACAGAGTTACAGAGTTACATGTTCCCTTTCATTATTTCAGCTGACAGCCCTTTTGTTGGAGCCTCGCTCCTTTTCAATCAGCAACAGCTGGTTAAGCAATGCAGACGCTCCCTTTTAACTACACACCTTGTTGGATATTTAGATATCTGCAATTATATGTTTTATAAGTGGGAATAACAAAACGCTTCTATATTTTTATCGATAAAATTAAAAATGGGCCGTTAATTTTAAACCATTTGGTTCGTTCAAGGTATGTTTAATGAAGACAGTGTGTTCGACTACCACACAAAACTTGTTTTGCAATCTATCTATGATTTGTTTATTTGTTACAAACTGCAAGATCATTTTTCTTGCCGTGGGTTTTAAAGCCAAATTGCTTTGAAGCTATTTTGGTGACAAGTTGCTCCAACATGTTACCAAGATGCCTTTCCTTCCTCTAAAGTCATCACCTACTTTTAGCTTTGACTATATTGAACAGTACAGCTGCACAGAAACAAGATGCTAACACTTGTTAGCAGCCTGGACTTGTTATGAGTCATGCCACATTAAAGCTGGTGGAATGCAAGACTTACCGTTAGACTACACAAGGTGATTCTGATAGTTTGAGGCGAAATTCCTGGTGACAAATATTCAACTAGCACTAGTTTGGTTTCTGCAAAGCTACACTGCTTTATAAAAAGATGGAAGGTTCAGAATTTAAGAATCAAAGACGTGATATCAATAACAGCTTAATTAATTTACCAGTTATGTCATTTGGGGTTTCTTGTAAGGACATATATAATGTGGCACTAATTAAGGCATACTCCCTTCAAACCATAACTTTAAAAGTAAGTTTTAGATATTTCTGTCATTCTTATTTATTGCTTGGCTGTACTGTACATCCCCAAAACTGCATGTTAAGCTCACCTGCTTTTCCCATGCTTGGCTCTTTCCACAAAACAGTCATCTGATTTTTTTTTTTCTTTGTAATAGTCCACTTAAATAGGACAACTGCTTTTATGCATCCTGGGATTTATTTTGTAACACTACAGACAAACTCTTAAGACTTGACAGGAAATTCCTCATTGGACACAAGGATGAAACAACTTTTCAGACCACCTTTAGAAAACTATTATGCAAAAAGAATACCTGAACTCACTACATTAGATGTCATACTAAAGGTATCTGCAGAGCAAAACATGTGAGCTCATTGGCATCTTCCCACCTTATCAAGAAACTGATAAGGTCTGCCTTGTTTCAATGGAAACACTTAACAGTGACAATAATCAGGCTGGGGTTCCTACTAATCTGCTGCACAAAATGAAACATCAATAAAACTCAAAGTCTCGTTTCGAGTCTAAACATCAGCAAGATGAGAAACGACATGTTTTCAAATTCTGTGAAGGAGGAAAAACATTCTGCTTGTGGCCTCATGTGACTCACACCGGGCCTCTCCCTCCTCTGGCAGTTCCAGTTCTTATTCCACTTTATGCTGATCCCAAAAAGCACACACGCTAACAACTTGTATATCCCGTTTTGTGACATTATGTTATGCAACATAATTTTTGTGATTAGGGCGAGGAGATAAAGATTATGAACGATCTTATCTTCCAAAGGTAGTTTAACTTAATTTTTCCTCCTCATGCTAACTCATTAAATATGTAATATATGTTCCATTCACTGTTCATGTTGTTGCTGTAATAAAACAATATAAAAATGCTTAAATACACCATTGCAAATATGTTCTGCCACAGTTCATTTTAAAATCTACTAATGTGCTTCTGCCCTGTTTCTGCTCAAAAGCAGCAATGTGATGACATGCTTCCTGGAGAACTAATAACACCGGTTTCAAAGACACCAGTCCTCCTTAAATAGTGTAAAACGTAGTGTTGGATTCCAGTGGTCAAAGTTTGTCGGTCTCGTGAGTGTCAAGAGGGTTGAAAAATATCTTGAAACCAGTGTGCAAACTATTTTTGGATGAGGCAGAGCCACTTCTATTAGTGCTAACAGAGTCCTATAGAAGAGATAAGAAGCCATTATCTGTGGAGTCTTGCTGGTCAGATTTGCCTCCTCGAGAGCTTTTGCTGGGGTTTGGAGTGGTTGAATACTTTGGGGGGTATCTGATGAACAGACGGTCCTCCTCCTTTTTAATCCATCTTAGAAGCTTAGTGATAGCAGTAATGGCACAGGCCTTTGTCACCAGGGGGCTGAAGCAGGTGTACAGCTCAAATTTACTTGTGACCTTGAGTAAAGAAGAAAACAATCAAGAGAAGACTGTGAAATACATTTAGGAATAAGAAATAGAGCTATTACATTTCTTGCTATGTTAGATGAGAAGATCAATGATGCTTCAGTTAGGAGCTGGTTATCTTAGCTAAGGAAAATACCTGGAAGCAAGCTAACAGCTTTTTTTCAACGCCTTCTGAAAAAAGCTTCCCAATGAATGGACTATTAAGCCCCAGTTCCAAGGCTTTGTGCTAAGCTAAGCTGCAACTTACTGGCAACTGTCTTTCTTTTTTCTTTCTTTTTAAAGGTATCCCGTTCAACTGCTCTTTAATGCAATTATCTAATCAGCCAATCACATGACAACAGTCCAAATGCATTTAGGCATGTAGAGATGGTTGCATTTTCTGCTGAAATGATTTGAGTGACGCAAAGTGTGAGCATTTCAGAAACTGCTGAC